GATGGTAGTGCTCTCACCATCCTCCTTCATGTGAATGAAGTAGAAGGCCTCCAAGTAAAGAAAGATGGCAAATGGGTCCCGGTTAAGCCTCTCCAAAACGCCTTCATTGTCAATGTCGGAGACAGTTTAGAGGTAATAAATATAAAAAATCCATGTTCTTTTTTCAGTTAAATTAAAATTGATGTAATAATTAGGAAAAAGAAAATGATGTGTGCACACCCGGATCCAACACCCGGGTGTGCACACATCATATAAAAAAAAAAATGCCCATCACCCGATCCAAATTTTTTGTTTTATGTGGGGAGTGTACACCCGGTGATGAATCTGGGTGTGCACCAATCATTGTCCTTAGGAAAAATGGTTGTGTGGTCGGTCCTTTCCAGCTTCAAGTAGTTGATGAAGAGAAATTTTAGTTTCCTCGTCATTCCAAATAAAATTAATGACCATTACAAGGTAGCATTTGTTAATTAAGTTATGTTTTTGTGTTTTTTTAGATTGTGACAAATGGAGCTTATCGAAGCATCGAGCATCGTGTAACAGTTAACTCTGTAATGGAAAGGCTCACTATTGGCACGTTTTACAATTCAAAATATGATGGGGAAATAGGGCCAGCAAGAAGCTTGATCTCTCAGGAGAAACCAGCATTGTTCAGGAGAATCACCTATGAAGAATACAGGAGGGTAAAGATTGCTAGCAAGCTTAATGGAAAATCTCACCTTGATACCTTTAGATTGTAAAATGGTTAATTGGACTCAGGCCAATGAATGATGTAGTCATGTTTCATGCAGCAGTGTTATTTGAGTAATAAGAAACATTGAGTCATACCACTATATAATCATCAAACATTGAAGGATAGTGTATAGACTTTTTCGTTATTTTAAATACCCCTCAAGATTTTATTTTAAAATGATTTTTTTTCCAGTTCAATGGCATATTTTCAAATTCATGACTTTTATCAATTGCTCTAAATTACTGCAGCTGGTAAATCATGGAGTAAGCTCTATCTCTTTTGTTGAAGAAAGTAAAGAAGGAGGTTCACGGTTTCTTTAACCTCCCAACGGAAGAGAAGAACAAATATTGGCGGTACCCAGGAGAAGTAGAAGGATTTGGGCAGCTCTTTGTTGGTATCGGAGGAGCAAATGCTTGATTGAGCTTATCTCTTCTTCTTGATTACAACCCATCCACCCCATTTGAGAAAGCCCCACCTGTTCCCTAAGCTCCCACTCCGTTCAAGTCCTTTCTACCTATGCCTCTCTCAAATTTATCTTTGACGTAGTTTTTGGTTATATTACAACGAAATCTCATAATATATAGTCACTTAGTCATAAAAAAAGTAATTAAATATATATTAATTTATGTGTCTCCTTAAGTAAAAAAAAAAAAAACAAATTACAATGACATCAGTTACAACTTGCATTAGAACAGATGAGCAAATGACTTAAGTGTTAAAATATCCAATACGGACATTGGGATCTAGAAAGTGATAACATAAAAATCTTAGGCGGAATAAATGGTGATTTTTTTCTGTGTATTATTATCTTATTTTTTAAAAAATAAAAAGGCAAAATATCAGTTAGTGCCCCCAATCTAAACTTATGCCAACAATTATACCCCTAAGGTTTTAAACCGCTCATCCTCGTCCTTTACTCTATCTGCAGAAGCCCAGAGCCGGTCGGTTGAAAAGAGGGGGAATGGGTCAAATGCTTGGTGTTCGCGGATCAATACTTGAGGAGAAAAGCAAGATGATCGAATGGTGAGAGGGGGAAAAATTACAAAAAACCATAGGGTTTTCTTTTTCCTTAATGTAGAAGGGGATTTACAGTAATTTGTATGGAGGGTGTTTTTTTCTTCTTCTCTAAGGGCGTGTTTGGTACCGTAGTTAAAATTCAACAGATAACAGGTAACGGATAATGAATAACAGATAGCGATAATGGGTAACAAGTGACGGTTAGTAGATAGTGGATGATAAATAACGGATTCAATAAATATAATTATTTGACTATACAATTGTTAACAGTTGTTATTTAATATTAAATGATTAATAAAGACATATTTAAAAATAAATAAGTATATTTTTTAAAATATTTTTATTT